TGAAAAAACATATATTTAATACTTGCGCCGGGTATTTAATGTTCGGCTCCACCCGAACTTAGACTTTCTTGCTTGTTTTTAAATTAAGAACTCAAATTTTTGCTGAAAGGAAAACTGAGTTTCAACGCAATAAATAATACTGAGTATTATGTCCAACTAACTTTACAGTCTTTATGTGGGTATTAAGTAGAAAATGCAAAAATTCGCTTAATTCTTGTAAATATGTTAAACAAGACATCAAAATACATTCATATAGAGAATGTGTTCTTTTGGAAAAAACTATGAAAATGGATACTGCGACATAACTTCAATATTTTGACGGGTGGCAATTCGAAAATATGTGTGGCACCGATATTGCCATATTTCTTTTTTATAATTTAACGGATAGTGTATCTTATGCATTTCTTGTAGCTTTACTTTTGGCCATAATTCCGGTACTGGTAGAGGTATCGAAATGAGGTGTTGTTTTAAATGTGCCCCTTCGTAAGCAGATTATTGTGTCCGAATGTGAGAATAATCGGTAACAGTTCATAAGAGATACGAATTTATTCGTGCTAAATGTGATCTCTGAACCACTGTGTGGCGTTATTGCCTTTTCGAAAAGGAAATTAAGCACGCGGGCTTTATTGCCTTTTGCCGGTGGGCGTTATTTCCCTTTCGATAGGGCAATAACGCCCGCGGGCTGTAATTGCTAAAAAGTGAAATAAAGCCCGCGGGTGTTATTTCATCTTTTTTGTGGCTCTTGTCTGCATTTTACACTACATCCAAAACCCCCTGTTCTATTCAAATACTAAATAAAAGCTAATATGATAACATTGAACAAAATATTTATTTGCCTTTATTATAAGAAGAAATTAAATTTCACTAATTTCAACGCATGAATTCGACTGCATCACTCCACATAAAAAAAAAAATCGGTAATGTTTTTCCATTGGAATTATATTTTAAGACGTCCCCCAAAATATTTCGGAAAAATATTATAAAGTTTTAGCGAGCTGGGCCAATTTGAAAATACCTCCAAAAATGGAGTTTTTTTATGAATAAAAATAGTTTCTTAAAGATGTTTTTTGAAAAAATCCCCTCAAATGACAAAACGGTTTAAGCTTATTAGCGTTATTTCTTCTTATTCTTATTTGGCGCTGTAACCGATTTGGGCCGAGTTCATCCAAGCACTCCAGTCGTTTCTTTTCTGTGCCAACTGGCGCCAATTGGAAATGCCAAGTGAAGCCAAGTGCTTCTCCACCTGGTCTTTCCATCTCAGTGGGGGCCTTCCTCTTCCTCTGCTACCACCAGCGGGGTCCGAATTGAATACTTTCAGAGTTGGAGCGTCGGTGTCCATTCGAACGACATGACCAAGCCAGCGGAGCCGCTGTATTTTAATTCGCTGCACTATGTCCATGCCTTTGTAAAGCTCATACAGCTCATTGTTCCATCGTCTGCGCTACTTGCCGTCGCCAACGCGTAAACGATGGTCTTGAAACCTTCCGTAAGTCGCCTAACTCTCTGGGCGTTATTTCACTGCACCAAAGAAACTGCTTCCTCTTCTCCTTATTTGGCACTTCAACCGTATTTCAGTTTGTACCGAGACCAAAAAACTTCTCGAATTGCCTCTCTCATGTGCGAATCTATGCCAGTTGGTTATCCCAACAGACAGGTCCTTCTGAACTTGATTCTTCCATTGC